CAAAAATTTCGAATTTTTCACTTGCAGTGAAAATTTCAGTGAATAGCTCCTTGATTGTCATGTTCCCCTGATACTTCTTCAAAAATTTCGAATTTTTCACTTGCAGTGAAAATTTCAGTGAATAGCTCTTCGATTGTCATGTTCCCCTGATACTTTTTCAGAAATTTCGAATTTTTCACTTGCAGTGAAAATTTCAGTGAATAGCTCTTTGATTGTCATGTTCCCCTAATACTTCTTCAAAAATTTCGAATTTTTCACTTGCAGTGAAAATTTCAGTGAATAGCTCCTCGATTGTCATGTTCTCCTGATACTTTGACAAAAATTTCGAATTTTTCACATTCAGTGAAAATTTCAGTGAAGAGCTCCTCGATGTTCATGTTATCCTGATACTTTTTCTAAAATTTCGAATGTTTCACTTTCAGTGAAAATTTCAGTGAATAGCTCTTCGATGTTCATGTTCTCCTGATACTTTTTCAAAAAATTTCGAATTTTTAAATTTCTATACTTATACTTATTCCTCGATATTTTACCACTCGATCTTTTTACCGTTTATCGACACACACCAGTTGGCTATATTACCAATTGCTGGTATTTCAGGGCCCTACATTACCGACCGCCGTTGTACCCCGAAAGAAAAAGTAGGAATTATTTTGAAAAAAAAAATGAATGATGGCGGGATCGAACCCAGGCCGTCGGCGTGACAGTCCAGCACGTTACCGCTGAGACAACGCGCTCATTATGAAATTATAATTTCATTAGTAGTATATATTTTGTAAAAGTATCGTTTTTAAAAATTCCGAATTTATCAATTTAAGTGGATATCTTCTCGATTTTAAAAAATTCAATTGTAAAACGATATTTCCATTAATTAGCCATTAAAAAAAAACAAAAAATAGGAATTATTAAATAAAAAAAATAATAAATTATGGCTGGGATCGAAACCCAACCATCGGCGTGCCAGCCGAGCACGCTGCCAATTAGACAACGCGCTCAATTTAAAATTAAAATTTCATTAGGAGTATATATTCAATAAATTGAATAATTTTTTCCCTTTGAAATTCCAGAAGATGTGGCTTTCCCTGTCCCCTCTCTGGGGGTGCAATACTAGGATGCTGCTGGGGTGACTCCAACCCCCAGAACTCTTCCTCTACTTCAGCCAATCCCCATTGGACGTTGAGAATTCTAGTACCGAGTCAATCCCCCGGAGGACGTAATCGTCTTCTTCGAGACATTCTTATTCAAACTCGAATATCTTTCGATACAACAATGATATCGAAAAAAAAAAAATCCCACATCTCCAGAATTAAAAGGGCTTTCCAATTATTCCATGTGAATAATTATTGGTTAATTAGGCTCTTTGTGATCTATCGAAATACATCGATATCTCAATCCACAATCGTTTGACAGCGCCGCCATTAATTCCCCTCTCATTTCTCGTTTCAGATTTATCCAGATTTATTTATTCCTTATCAGACAGTTTTGTTTACACTTCCTCATGATTTATCTCCTGTTTTCAATTGTTTATTGCTTTGTTTAACACGGATTTAACAGTTAATATTCATCAAAATGGTGAATTTCGGATGTATTCCTCTCATCGCAATGTCTCCAGCTGCAAAAAATATTTTTTCCACTTTATTAAATCCCCCAAAAGTCCTGCAGACCTGTGATAAATCTTTTAGGTTATCTTAATCCTCTATTTTAATTATTATAAAATTCAGATAAACAATTGATCAATCGCTGATTAATTATTCGATTATTGTTTTTAGTTTTTACATTTTCAGATAATTAAGGAGAAATGAAATTATTTAAAAAATCAGGGAGTGATAATTGAGATTAGGTTTTTGGAATTCAGGGATTGGAGAGGATTTGCTGATGTCCTGGGGATCACTGGTGATGCTAATGGAATAATAACATCCAGTCTGGACCCAACAGCTGCTATTTTTGATATTTTAAAAACGAGAAAGGAGAGAGTGACCTTCGAGCACCTGGTGAAGGCCCTGGAGAAGATCGACAGGTGGGACGTACTTGACGATGCATCAGATATCCTGGAGAAAGATGGCAAAGTCTACCTGGAGAGACTGGAGAAAGTCAATGCTCCAGAGGTTGACGCAATGATTGACAGCAAAATGTTGACTTATGGCATGTATCAATAAATAATTCACCCCCATTCCACCTCCAGGACATCCTGGTGAATTCTCCAGTTGAATTAAATTTCTTACATGCAGATTTTCTGATTGATTCTCTTGGATTTTTCCAGACGACGTTGTGAGGCTGGAGTCTGGCCAGCCGATGCAGACGTATGACGCCTTTCTCCTCTTCGCTGAAGAAGATTCATCATTTGCTGATGAGATAATCGAGAACCTCGAGAGGAGGGGAAATCTACGGCTCTGCACGAGGGACAGAGATTTAATAAGTCGTGGTGAGAGATTTGAGCCCGAGGTATTGATGGAGCTCATCTCCGAGAGGTGTACGAGATTAATTGTCGTGCTGTCTCCGAATTTCATCAAGAGCCCAGTCAACACTTTTCTGATGGATTTCGGCCAGACGACCGGTCTTCACGAGCGCCGAAGAAAAATTGTTCCAGTACTCTATCAAGACTGCAAAATTCCAATTCAAATGCGTCACACTGTCATGCTTCATTACAACAGAATGGGAATGTACAATTTTTGGGAACGATTTAGAAATTGTATCCGTACAGTATCACCAGCTGTCGTTTGTGATTCAAGAAATTATCCGTCGAGAGAAGAAGTTCCATCGAGAGTTCCATCGATAGTTCCTGAGATGTGTCCTGAGGCGGATGGAGAAGTTCTGGATGAAATAACTCCTGGGGGAGCTCCTGGACAAGTCACTCCCAGGAAGAAATCATTCTTCAGGTTTGCGAAGAGAAAAAATGAGAAGAGGGACGACTCCGTGGTACAATTACCATCTTTGAGTGGATTGGATGACCTTGGAGAGATAAATACTCAGGAGATGGTGAGGAAACCTAGGGGAACGGGAGTTGCTAAGAAAATTAAAGCTCTTGTGCTGAGATCCTGATGAATCTAGTGCAGCCATCCCCGAGGACAATTTATTCAATAAATATCACAATGCAATTAAAATAAAAAATTCCTAGAGTATTCCATTTTCAATTCAACACCTCCAGGTGATTTATCTCAATTTAAAATTGAATTATCAAGATAAAATCGAATGCAATCTTGCGATTGAAAGTTCCTGTACAGTTAAATAATTATTAATTTTTAATATAGATGTTTATTTTTGTAAATATATGAATTGTTAATTTTTTTTTGGTTTATTTCGGTGGTGATGTGTTGGTTTGGGAGAAATGAAAAATTCGTGGAATATTTTTGAATGCGAATTTTTGGATTTTTGGCGGGAATTCTTGAATTTTTAGGTTTTTTTTATTTCATTTGAGTCGTTTAGTCATCAGTCTGACTGCAGCTGTTACAGGTTTTCGTCGATAGTCTCAAAAAAAGGAGTTGGAAATCAAAGTTTGTGGCGACGATTCAGGTAGTGCGTATCAACTCCAGGATTTTCCAAAAATTCAGGGGTAAACCGATGTTTATTATTGTCAATCAAATGGAAATTCTCTGTGAAAATTTTCTCTGTTAAGATAACCTAGAAACAATAATTAATTACACGAAAATTGGCGCATAAAAGTCATTACATTCGCTAAAATCTCAACATCCAATCGTTAATTTAATGTTTTTTAATTGTTATTAGGGTAATTTGTTTATTTAATACTTGGGATTGATCCCCGACAACTGAAAATCTATCGAATTCCTGATTTGTTGAGAGAATTGATTTTTCTAGAATTTATTCTTCAGTTTTTCATGAAAAAAAAACAATAATTTTGGGTTTATCCAGTTTTTTATTAAATAAATTGTATTGATATGAAAGAAACATTCGAAATTCGAAAGTCTAGGCCCAAAATTATTCCGTGGGAAATATTTTGAAATATTCTCCAGATATCCAGTAATTATTCACAGATAATTAAATTGTGGGCAGAAGTTTTATTATTATATTTGTATTATTTACTAATTCTCTTCCGATTGGATAGCTGTCTAGGTAGTCTTCAAACGTGGAAAGAAGAGCTTGATTAATTAAACCATTAATCAACCAATCGTCATTCACTATTTGGCGGAATAAAATTTTGAAACAGATCTGCAAATTTCTCGCTATTAGACAGTCGTATTGTCCCTTGCCATCTAGAACCAGAGGATGTAATGATCACATGAATATTGAGTAATTTTTACTGGGATTTTCCCAAGAAATTATTGTAATTTTTTTTTTTATTTGCGCAATTTTACGTACACAAAGATGCACATCGGGTGATCGCGTTATCCACTGTATCTTCATGATTTCCCGGAGTCTCGGGTTTAGCTATTAAATTTCTAGCTTCCTCACCCGTGTATGTACCATCCTCTGACATCTGGAAATTTTCCGTATTAAAATGAATCGATAATAATTATAAAATCGATAATTTTATCGTAATTACAGATTTAATAATTGAATGAACCGTGATGAATCCAGAGAAGAGGAATATCTCGGAATCTAAGAGAGATACAAGAATTTTTGTTATTACCTTTTTTGTACATCTCATTTCGGTTTATAAAAAAGGTTCTGATGAGGTTTTCGGTATCTCTTGGGGATTCGGAGATATTCCTGGAAAACTCAGCGACTTGGAAAATCGGTTTCTCATGATTCATTCATGATTTTAATTATGCTCATTGGTTTTAATTAGAGGGGACTTACCGTTCCCAATTTTTTCATCACACATGCGACAACGCATTCGTTTAATTCAACACTCATATAATCATTAATGAAATTCTGGTATCGATCCACTGGAAATCCGCGTTCCATAGCGCAAAAATCGACAGCATTTTGGATGACACCTTTTCCAGATTCCCCCAGCTGATTAAATAATTCCCAAGCAATTAATCATTTAAAAAAATCACATGTCCCCATGAAGACAAGATCTATTTCAAAATCTAATTAATTATGCCTGAATATGGTGAATAATTAAATTAAAGATTGAATGATTAATAAAAATCCTGAATTCCACGAAAATATTCGGATTTTTCTAGTCTAAAAATATTTTTCATTCATTTATATTTTGATTTTTAAGAAAAATAATGCAGGGAAAATTCCTAACTAATGAGTAACGAATGCAAGACTTGAAGTTCAAGTACTCTCATCTTAATGCAGAATACTTACGCCAAGGGCCAGTGGAAAAATCGCGAGAAAATATTTCAGTCTTTGCATCATCGCGGTTGTAGAAACTTTGACTTTCTTTAGTTTTTATCCTCCGGCGTTTATCAATTAATAAAATCCGGTGACTTGTGATTACGCAGTCTAACAGTTGTTCATACATATCATAATTAATTTATTTTATTTAATTTGATAGGAGCCAGACGAGATTGGGGACGAAATTTTCGAAGGCACGTGCAAAATTTATTGCATAACTTAATGAAAGACAAATTATTAATTAATTATAAATTCCAATCGATTCAGCAATGTTTCTTCCCGTTTTTAATTCGTGGATAAACAATAAAAAAAATATGAGTAAATAATAAAATAAAATAATTGTCTCATTAAAATGAATTTCAATTGGCGTCAGTTATTTATATTGTTTGATTAATAATATTTATTTGTTTTAGGAAAATGGCGGAAGATATCTCCAGACATTATGCGAATCGTTTTCCGGATTTTACGAATGAAAATTCAAGAGATGTTGTCAATACTGGGAACAATTCAGTGCGTAATAAATAAATAATTAATAATAAATACAAGATTACATATTTTTTATTTTTCCAGCTGAGCGAAAATTTCGAGGCAGTCCTCGAGCAGCATATCCACGACTTCATTCACAGAATGAATATGAAAGAGCAAGAATGGATTAACAGAAATGATTCCTCGGTTTACACCGGCATCTCTGGAATTGCCTACCTATTTTTTGTGTATGGCGAACGATTCAACGAGCCCACATACATCGACGTGCGTAAACAATTAAATTTTCTGACAAGACAAATAATTTTTGAATTATTACATTTTTAAATTAGAAAGCGGTGGAATTAATCGAGGGTGCAGGAGGAAATAAAAATGACAAGAAATCGATAACATTTTTGACTGGGGAGGCAGGAAGACTAGCCGTGGGAGCACTGATCCATCATTCCGTGGGAAATGACGAGAAATCCACCGAGATAATCACAAGGTATTGATTAATCGGTTAAAAAATCCCCAGAAACGAAAAATTACATCAGAAGAATTACTGGATGAATTATTATTTATGTGAATCAGTGGTGATAATAATTATTTATTGTTATTTACAGATTGAAATCACTGTATGATTTTTCGGCGATGTATTATTACGATGAACTTCTTTATGGGAGAGCTGGGTATCTCTACAGTCTTCTGTTCGTGAATAAAAATATTTCCGAGGGTTTGATCGACGAAGATCTGATAAAAAAGGTGAATTCACTCCCACCTCATGCCCCTGATTTCCAAAATTTCCCTCCAGGAATTCACATAAATATTTTTCTTTCTCCAGGTAATAAACTGCATCCTGACGACCGGAAAGAACTACTCAGCATCTCGTCGTCTGAAAATTCCATTGATGTACAGCTGGCACGAGAAAGAATATCTGGGTGGTGCCCATGGAATCGCAGGAATTCTCTACGTTCTTCTTCAGGTGATTATTTAATTAATTAATTAATTATTGAGGGGAGGATTATTATTTATCTTTTTAGGCACGTGAATATTTGACTGACGCTCAACTGAACGACGAAATTAAACCCTCGATCGATTATCTGATAACTCTGAGGTTTTCATCGGGAAATTTTCCCTCATCCATCGGAAATAAAGCGGATAGACTGGTTCACTGGTGCCATGGAGCCCCTTCCATGACAATGCTCTTCACCCTTGCATTCGAAGTTGGTATTTCATTTTTTTCTCCATCGATAAATTAATTACGCAAGCCTTCAAATCTCATTTATTACACTTAATTTTTAAGAATCTGTTACAATTATTTTCTCTCGCTGAAAACAATTCATGGAAACGAGTGGAATAATTAAATGGATTTACTAATTGATGGTAATTTGTGGGCTGAAAATCATTTTTTCAGATTTTTAAGGAAGAAAAATACCTGAACGTCGCTAAAAGCTGTGGGGAAATAATCTGGGAACGTGGATTATTAAAAAAAGGTTGTGGAATCTGTCACGGCACAGCCGGCAATGCCTACACATTCCTGAATCTCTACCAGCAGACACAAGTAAAAATTAATTGTTTTGTCATTTTTACGCCTGATAAACCCCCAATTTTTTATTTCAGGACATTAAATATTTGTATCAAGCAGCAACATTCGCTGAGTGGTGTTTCAGTTACGAGAAGTACCAGAATCGCATTCCAGATCGTCCATTCTCCCTTTTCGAAGGTGAATTATCAATAAACAAAGCAGTTGAAAAACCTGTTAAATTATTATAAACATTCCATTCACCGATTTTTCTATCAATTTTCGTTTAATTCTGTGGAAGAGAAAAATTTATTGGAACTCGATTGGTTTTTCGATTGAACTGCTCATTGTTATTGACAATCTCTTTATTATTTTATCGAATGTTTCAGGACTCGCGGGCATTATTTATTTTTTGATCGACCTCGCAACTCCATCCACTGGAAAATTCCCCGGGTACACGCTCTAAAACCCCCGACAATCCAAATATTAAAGAAATTATTTTATAAAAATATATTTTTCTCTCATCAATTATCAAATAATAAAACAAAGTAGTCATACCGATGAGCTACCGAATTCCCGAATGAATTTCTCTTGAAATATCTCTGAATTATTATTTTTCGTTAATATTTGGGAGAGTATTTTTAGAAAATCGTAAAAAATAGCGATATAAATAAAATATTAGAGTAAATGGAAAATTGATTGTCCATTCGTCCCTGGAAAAATCGATTGTTATCGCGAGACGCTCATTACCGCAAGGAATATTATCTAATCTCAGACTTGATATAAGTAATCTACCACCGGTTCAGAAGTCAGTGGATGTGCAGGCGTTTGCCAGTTACGAATAATCAATTAAATGAGAATGAAGGCTTTTGGATCAGAGAGAGTGATCTTGGGGTCGGAAATAGTACCGGCAATTATTGTGAGTGATAATGGAATTGTTAAAGAGATTTTCCAAGGTTCTGGGGCTGATGTGAGGGCTGGGGTTGAGGGGAAATACCCGGGGGTTGAGATTCAGGATTTTGGAAAGAAAATTTTGATGTCGGGGGTGGTGGACTCTCATGTTCATTGCAATGAACCTGGAAGGACGCATTGGGAAGATTTTTCGACGGCAACTCAAGCTGCTGCTGCTGGCGGAATCACGACTATCATCGATATGCCTCTGTGAGTTTTAAAATGGCTGAATGCGGTAATAAATAATCCATATGACAAATAATTTATATTTATTTCAAGGAATTCGATCCCTCCAACCACAACAGTGAGGAATTTCGAAGAAAAATTGACTTGTGCTAAGGGAAATATTTTTGTTGATGTGGGATTCTGGGGAGGAGTTGTTCCTGGAAATTCTGTAAGATTTTATTCAAGAATAATTGGAATAATTTTGAGGAGAAGTTATTTAGAATATTTTTTTTTCATTTTAAATGCAGAAAGAGTTGAAGCCGATGTTGAAAGCCGGTGTAGCTGGATTCAAATGCTTTTTGATTCCAAGTGGCACCTCAGAATTTCGGCACGTCTCCCTGGACGACGTTGAGAAAGCCCTCGAGGAGCTCAAGTCAACGGAATCTGTTCTTCTGGTGAGTCATTGAAGTCTCTCCCTCGAATTTATTAAATCATTTGACTTTATTTTCAGTTTCACGCCGAATTAGAGGAGACGATTTCCACCAAGGGATTAGATCCTCACCAGTACGCCACCTTCTTGCGCACTCGTCCAGCAGCAATGGAGAGCAGCGCAATCATGGAAGTTGCTGATCTCTGCAAGAAGTCAGGGTAAATGAATATTGATAAAAAAATGATAAAGAATTGGATAACGAATTCTTTTTTAATTTAATCATCACTATTATTTATTCGAAGAGTTCGATGCCACATCGTTCATTTATCAGCTAGTGAAGCTCTGCCGATAGTATCCGAGGCGAAAAAATGTGGAGCACCCCTGACTGCTGAGACCTGTCATCATTATTTGACATTTGCAGCTGAAGAAATTCCAGACTCAGCGACTTTGTTCAAGTGCTGTCCACCAATTCGTAATCGAGATAATCGAGTTAGTTATTTCAATCGTAATTAAGACTTGAATAATTTTCTTGGTCGGCTGATGAATTTTTTTTATTCAGGAAAAACTTTGGAAAGCTCTTCAGGATGGGACTCTGGACATGATCAACTCTGATCACTCCCCCTGCACAGCAGATCTGAAGATCGATGACTTTTTGCAGGCCTGGGGAGGGATTTCTTCTTTGCAATTTGGTTTGTGGAATTATTTAAATTTTATTGGAACCTTTTGAGAATAAATTGGAGATTTAATTGGGGAATTCTCTGGGGGTGCTTCCAGGACTTCCTATTGCCTGGACTGAAGCTAGAAGGAGGGGAATTCAAGTGGAACAGTTGGCGAAATGGATTTCAAGGAATCCGGCGAAGTTGAGTGGATTTGAAAAGCGAAAAGGGGATATTGCTCCTGGCATGGATGCAGATTTCGTTGTTTGGGATCCTGAGGAAATTATTACGGTAATGAAATATTATTCTTCTCCATTCCATTCAAATATCCCCCATTTTTCGGTCTTTTTTCGTGAAAATGTTCAATAAAATCCGAGAAAATTCGTCATTTAGAGATTTTTTCATTCAATTTTCCAGGTGAAAACAGCAGACATTCTTTACAAAAATAAAATAAGTCCCTACGAAGGGCGAGAATTATTCGGAAAAATTCATGCTACGATTCTCGCCGGAGAATTTATCTTCAAAGATGGAAAAGTCGTGGGAAAGCCCGTGGGTAAATTACTCCTGAGAGAGAACTAAAATCAAAACAATTTTCCACACGTGAGAGTAAAAAATCCGGAGTTCTCGATGGAATCTCCGAGCGATTACTGAAATACACTGACCTTGCGATCACAATCACACGTTCTCTCGTAAACAACAGGGATGACGTCATCAGTTAGATAAAAATCGACGACGATGAGCCGTTGGGAGAGTGAATATAATTTGATAATTTTCCGAAAAGGAAATATTTGTCATACAATTATTATTTTTCTGTAATTTCGTAGAAATAAAATGAACGTTTACTCTCTTGAAATTAATCATTAATTTATTATCTATTTTGAATTCTCTTCTCTTTATCGCCGCGTGATTTCTAAATCCCCAATGCATATTCATTTCGCCATGACTTAGAAATGTTAGCGATGACGTCATCCGCTGACGTCAGCGCGTCGCGGAAGTCAAGTCTTATATTCTCCGATTTAATTCTTGAAATCGTGAATAACAAAAAAAAATAATAATAATAGAAATAATAATATAATATTACTTCTATATTAATATATATTATTAATTATTAAAATGATTATTGGTGATTTTTCCCGCAATTATTCTTTGGAATAATAATAACAACGATATTAATTGTTATTGTTAATGATTGATTTTATTTGGATTTAAACAATTAAATGGAGTGGAGAACAATTTAAAATTTCCCCTCTTCCCGCCCCCCGCGTATTCCCTATATTCCCCCAGACTCACCAGTGGTCGGCCATTTTGTGAAATCCAAATAATGCGCGCCACTCGTGGCGCACACGAAAATCGCTCTCCCACTACGTAAAACACCCGAGTGTCTGATTAGTAAAGAAAAAAAAAGTAAGAGAGAGGAAAAAAAATGGTGAGAAAGAGTGAGAAATGTTGAAATTAAAGTGAGAGAGTGAATACGACACTAAAGGTCTTTTGGGGTGGGCTCATATCCAACCAGTGACGAAGCCACTGGAGGCTTTGACGTGGCTGCTACGTACCTGCCCGTTTGCCCACTCCGATTGCAGCAAAGTCGGTGACGATAAATACGTAACTGGTAAGTACAAAACCCCAGCTGGAAGAAAATAATAAACAAGGAGGCATGGACCGTCAAGAAGTTGGTACAATTCATCCACGACTCGTTGCACAATAGATTAATAATCGTATCATTAATTTTTGTCAATCGATGCCCGATTACGTTAAATAATGTGTCTTTGGTTTTTTAAATTATTGTTATTATTCATTTTTCGTGGATAACGGGGGGAGAGGTAATTCGGATTTACGCGTGTGTTGGGGGGATTTTTGTGTCGAGTTGAGAACATGGCGACGAGAGGCCGAAGGGATTCTCTTTTTTTTTTCCCTTTTCTTTTTTTGGATTTTTGGGGGGTTTTCGGGGCTTTCCCCGTTTTTAAAATTTTACCGGTTTGGGGGAGGGGGGGAATACCGTGGGGGTTGTTTTTGGGGGTTTTGGGGGGCTTTCTGGATGGGGGGAGGGTTTAGTGGATTGGAATTGTTTTGTTGTATTTTTAGAATTTTATGAGTTTTGTGATGTGACGCAGTTGAACTCGTCTGTCGGAGGTTCTGGCGGGAAAGTTTAAATTTAGAGGGTTGCTCCAAGGGTTGGAGGGTGGGATTTTTTTTCTGAGGGGGTGGGTGATAGGCCTCAGGGTTAAGGAGACTCGAGTAAATTTTTTGGAATTTCCTGGAATTTTTTTCACTATCAGGGAATTGAAAATCAATTTTTTTGAAGGATTTATTTCGATTTTGAATTGTTCAAAATTTTTCAGTGTGCATTAAATAATTTTTTTATTGCTATTACTGGATGGAGAAATGATATAAATAATTTTTCAGGGCTTGTGGTCCCCGGGCTATGGAAAGTATGGTCGAAGAGAACGGATCAGCAGTTGACTCAATGTCACCTGGTTCACAGAGTGGCGATGCAGCACCAGCAATTGCAACCTCGGTACAGTCAATCAGTAGAACACATCAGCAGACACATCATCTTGTTGCCTCTACCAGCATTGTACAACTGACACTACCAGCGTCTGGAACAACTCAGGTACACGACAACAGTGTCCCTGCTGTGTATCCACGACGCTCACACCCATTGTCCATTTTTTATAAACAAATATCCACTGCACCAAGCCACCACCAATTTCCCCATCAAATAATCTCTTAAACAATTAATCTGTCAGATGACTGAGATAATAAAAATAGAATTGTTAATCAATTGTTAAGCTGAAGATGAATTAATGAGATGGGAGAAATTGTTTATGGCTTTATTATTTCTCACAATGCTGGTTCTGGCTGCAATGTCAATTTTTATTTAGCTTTTGTCGATTTAATGGAGGGAATTGTTTAAATATTGTTTATTCAATTTTTTTATTGCAGGTGCAATCTGTTATTCAACCCAATCATCAGTCTGTGATACAGAGTGCTACGAATATTCAACCTGTGGCGTTATCCAAGGGGAATGTCATTCTTGTCAAACCAAACTCTGTTATACAGTCGACCCAAGCTAATATACAAACGCTACAGGTTATAAATTATTTAATTATGCACTAATTTCTGTTTTCCATAAAATTCCCTGGAAAGAATTCGAGTGGAAATTCCATAATTCAATTTTTATCCGACAATGAAAAATTATTCTGGAGTTCAAATGATGAATGAAGCGACAATTCCTCCCGAAAAATTGTTTATAAATTTAAAATAATGTTTTTATTGTTGAAAATTGACAGGTCGTCGATGCAGGGAGTGACGATAGTTTTTCCGACGAGGATTCACCCAAAAAACGAAGAGATCTCTTAACAAGACGAGCGTCGTACAGAAAAATATTGAATGACCTGAGTGCGAGTGAAATTGCAGGTAATTTATAACAATTGTACCCTGAATTAAGCCCCCAATATTTGCGTCTTGCAAATTACGAATAAAAAACTCACGAATGATCGATCGAAATAATTATTCATCATAAAAATTCGTGTGCACGTCAGCTCATACTTGTGATTAAACTCAAGAATATAAATATTAACAAAGGAAATCTCCACGTTAATTTGTTTATAAAAATACTTTGAGATGCCATACCAAGCACAAATGACAAGCCCCTCACGTATCCTGCACGATTTAACGCTTGGATTCTCCATTATCCCTCGTCTTCATTATTTCATTTTATTAATCTATCGATTATTAAAATAGCTGAGTTTTTATCGAGCCCCTGGATTATTTTATACTGCACACCAGAGAGGGAGAAATCCATTTATTATCATTTATTCCTCTGAAATAAACCCTCAAGACTATTTTTTAATTATATAGAATATTTCGAGGGGTGATATTATTATTAAATATTATTTAGAGCTGTCTCCTGTATTAATTTCAATTAATCAGTGATTTCGTTCAGATAATTACATTTTTAAACAATTAAACGTCATTTTTCTTGAATAATTGATGGTGATCGATCGTTATATCATGTGTTGAGTATAAAATTCCCCCCATCATCCCCCGCACTAATTCATAAATCGCAACATGTGTGAAGGAAATTTGCAATAAAAATCCACCATCCCCTGCAAAAAATTCTCAATAATCTCTCCTATCGCTCAAAACAAATTCAAACATCCAACAACAATTATTGACTATATAAATAATAATTAAATACATCATACGGAATTTAAAAAAAAAATTGAAGCGAAAATCGATGGATTTTTCAAATTTTCTTCACATGTTATCAATTTATTTTTCTCTCACAATTTCTCTGCATGGAATTTTCTCATCTTTACTTGTTTTCTCACAACGTATGACCTGACTGCACGATTGTAACGTCACAATATTAAATTGAGGGACGAGGGATGAATCATGAGTAGAATATTTTCGTGGATGTCATGTTGGTTGAAAAAAAAATCAGATAAAATGTGATGAATTGAAAAGAAAAAACAATTTGATTGGGTTTTACAGCAGGTAACTTGCCTCCCCTAGAATCCTCCCTTGAGTGTGACTCTAATGTGGACAGTGACATGTCTTCCCACTCGCTCCACTACCAAACAGGTTGGTCAAATATTCATCTAGCTAATTATTCAAAATTTTCATTTCTCCATCTGTTACATATCTTTGTTTATTATCATATTTTATTCTTATCTGTCAGCTTCTCATCATCGGGGCGAAGAACTCATTACGATTATTCCTATTTTTTTTTTAAACACCTCCTATCCCTGTGTGTACTGTCACATGTCAATTGTTATTAAAAAAATTATTTTGTTGTGTTTGGTATGGCAGAATAAATTTTTTCACGTCAATCCGTCGTTCTGGTTCATGAGTATCGGATGATTATTGTGATGAGATGTCGTTGGGAGTTTTTTGGAAATAATTTTGGGGGATATTTCAAGTTTCAAATTCATCATTAAGTCATTTTTCATATTTTTGTCTTTCGGGTGGAGTTCATTTGAAATAAATAAAAAAATATATCGATATTTGAGAGACTCGAAAATTATTCAGTCCTTTTCACAATTCTTCCTTCACTCATTCATTTTTATCATAATCTGATAAAAAATTGGGAAGAAATCAGTAGCGAAGTGGTAAACTAGGACATGTGCATTTTTTTCTCGTCATTTTTTAAGGGATATCTTGGAATTGAACGAACATTCCGATATTTTTGTAGATACATTTTTTGTGTAGAAAGAGAAAGGCTACAAAAAAGCTCTCTACAAAAACATCCGTATTTTCCTCCAATTCCGCGATATTCATAAAAAACCAGTGATAAAAAAAAATTGCGCAAACAGAAGAAGAAAACCTTACCGTCAGTTTTTGCCAAATATCTCGGATTCCCGCAAAAATCCGGACATTTCTGTGAATACATTTCTTCTAGAAAAAAACCAGAGCTAAAAAAAAGGTATTCACAAAAAAATCCGTATTGTCCTTCAATTCCGAGATATTCATGAAAAACTGGCGTTAACGAGGAATATCGTAGATATGATCGACTAGTGGGCGAAAAAAATGTCGGAAAAAAATCGTAAAAAATTGTGGAAAAATGAAATTTTGCAGTAATACCTGCGGGAACAATACAAATAGCTACCCAGGGGGAGGGTGTGCCAGGGCTTCACACACTGACAATGAGCAACGCGGCAACAGCGGGTGGAACAATAGTGCAGTATGCACAGGGCCAGGACACGCAATTCTTTGTCCCAGGTGTGTCCCCTACTTCAAATCTTTATTTTCTATAATTTATCTTATCTTTATTTACCCTCCGTCTATCCACTCACACCTTTCTGTCAATCAATACCCGTTATTCTCTCCCATCCACTTTTATTTTTGTTCTGTAATTTAAATCGATCTTTCAAGCAATTGAAATATCGATTACAATCGTCTGACGATTCTTTGAGTGAATTTATTTGGAGTGTACAGTGTCTTACAATGTTGCAGATTACGCAGGGCATGGGGTCGTCGTCGAGGATGCAGCCAGGAAAAGAGAGATGAGGTTGCAGAAGAACCGGTGAGTTAATTTAAACAATTGTACAATTGTCATTGTCGTAATCGTTGGATTAATTTTTTTTATTGTTAATGATTAGGGAGGCAGCGCGTGAATGTCGAAGAAAGAAGAAAGAGTACATAAAATGTCTGGAGAATCGTGTGGCAGTGTTAGAGAATCGTAATCAAACCCTAATCGATGAGCTCAAGTCTCTCAAAGAGCTGTACCAGCAGAAAACTGACTGAGACTGGCATCCAACAATCTCGGTACGTAATCCGATGAAATTCAATATCTCATCCCTTTTGTGCACGTTGTCGTCCACTACGGCATGATGGGATCATTAAATGTCCCGGAATACATTTTTTTTTTTCTCTGAGAAAGATAAAAAGCCAGCAAAACGCAAAAAAAATATTATAACGATGGAAAATGTGGGGTTAAACAAGTTCAACATGAATTGTATAAGTGTTTCTGTATAATATTGTATTTATGTATCGACGTATGATGGAAATGATTTTTTTTAATGGGTTCTGAAAGGCTTGTGAAACTTGCTGTTGAGTCATTGTGAGAAGCCAAAGTCGATTTTTTTTTTCTTTGAGACAGACGAGCCACTGAATTCGGGGATTATTTGTCGAGGGGCTCTTCCAGGTGGAGATTAAGTTTCTGGAATTTTTTGACAGTTTCTCTCGGTCTTCGGACGATGGTACAAATATTTTTTACTCAATTCACCCGAATTCTCGATTTTCGAGGGAGTTAAAATATTCTTTCACCCTTAATTACGGAATTATCTCTCGAGAATTGAGAATTGAAGTCGAGTTTAAAAAATGCTCGAGGGAATTATTGGGAATCGATGGCATTTTGTTATTTGAAACGAAATTCTTTTGATTCTCTCATTTTTTTTTTCATTCCAGAGATTTATTGAGAATGTTGTTACGCATTTATTTCGGTTTTTAAACAAAATTAAAGTTGATTAATTTTTTTAATGAGGATAACGAGAAAAGTGAAGACCAAAATTTTCAGTTCTCAATGTCTCAAAAAAATTTTTCCCCTGAGTTAAAGAAAAAAAAATCGAGATGAAATTTTCACACCGGGAATTTATGACAAATGGACATTTTTATATCTTCACGAGTTATTGATTGTTGAAAATAGTCCATAGTAGTCTGCCCTAGGTACCTAAGTCCTGTGTCCGATGTCCTAGAAAAAAAAAGCCTCACCGCAAAAATCCCCGACCCAAAACCGAAAAGATAAAAAAAAAAATCCACGAATAAAATTCACATGAAAAACTGCTGCGTTGCAGTGTCACATAAAAAATGAAAGATAAATAATAAATCCGGGAAAGAGTCATGGACATCACCACTGTAAAATAATGAAAGAAAAAAGTGTAATATATTTAAGAAAAAAAAGATGAATGAAAAGAGGAGAGAAATAGAAAAAAGAAAAACCGGAAAAGCCGAAAAAAATAAATAAATAAAGATAAATAAAAAAACATCAGGAGTGCCTTGAAGATTGCAGTATATACATATATGTTTACGTATGAGTTATATGTATGTAATGATATAAAAAGATGAATGATAATATTAATCTTTTAGGGGAAGAGATTGAGAAGAGAATTATTTTGAAATGAAAACAATGAGAGAAAATAAATAAATTAAGGAAAAAGTACTCTATTCGGAGGAAATGCGAATATTCGTGAGGAAAAAGGGGAAAATTACGAAAATTCTGGGTGTCAGTGGAAATCTGAGGATTTTTTTAATAAAAATGGAAAATTTATTTTTATCCCCAGGAAAAAATCGACTTCCGTCGCATTTTCTGGAGAAATCAATAAAAAATTTCTTAAATAAAAGCGAAAATTCCTCGGAAAATCGCTGACAACTCCGGAAAACTCATTACTCACATGAAATTGACGAGATGTGGATAAATTGGTAACGAATAATAAATAATTTGAGTCACAAAATTTTGATGAGTCCGTAAAAATTTATCGAAGAAGAATAAAAAAGGGAATACAATTTTAATTTCGATGAAAAAATTCGATTTGTCCGTGAGAAATAGCGAAAACCCACGGGTTCATGATTTATATTCGAAAATAATTATCGAATGGAATCATAAATTTAATTTGAAACATTTCTCAATTTCACTTGACTAATGAACTTTCCTCATTAAAAAATAGAGATGAATATTAATTCATGTGATGGTATCATCGGAACGTATATGTCATATTTGTTGAAATAAAAAATCACGATCAAATCCAAAAAAAAAAAATGAACATTGATAAAATAATCATGAATTTGTTCCAATTTTTCTCTAGCCTTGTAGATTAATTAGACAAACGAAAGAAACATTGTTTCGTACGTAATTTGTACTATTGTCTGTCTACGAATGTCCAATTCGTACCTCCGCTGTCCCTCCAAGCGAATTTATCCATAAAAAAAAATGAATTCTTGTCCAAATCGATCCTCTGGAGTAATGAGAAAAAATCGTCGATCAATCGATATTCGTTTGATTTGAAATTAATTTTTTTCCCTGTTAATAGCGCGAGGAGTTTTAGCGTTTGAGAATCGTTTGATGTTTTGTTAAAAAACGGAAACGGATTTTAATGATTTTGTCACCGATTTTCTCTCATTATGCCAACGAATCGATGAGTAAATAAACAAAAAGAAATAACGATAATGAAGAAAAAACAAATATGATTATATGTATGATATATGTATATCTTGGTTGCTGCACCGATAATATTATAAAGTATTGTATATAGATAATATATGTATTTTTACATATCATTGGCCTTCTTGAGAGAATTAACAAATATAGCTTTTAATTCTATTATTGAAAATCCAATTAACTGAAAGAACACAATCTCTGGGTTTTATCTACATCCCAGTGATTTAAATAGTTACTAACACATGGTTTAGTTGAAATATCACGATTTTTTTAGGCAAGTCTCTTGAGAAATCTTCGGACATGATTCTGCTCATTTCCAATGTCTGAAAAATTAAAAAAAAAACGTATCATTTGGTGGAAATTTATTCCCCGATTGCGGATGAACCGGCGATTTGTCCGGAAAAAATCGGTTCGAAGAATTGTTTATAGAAAAACGAGAAAAAACGGGATATCGCTGGTTCAGTCGTAAAATATCATGAATTCGTAATATTATCCAGTACCTGATTGGTTGAGACGAACCCTTTGCACCTTGAGATGAATTCGATACTGTAATCAAAGAATTAAAATCAGTCTATAGATTTAATCTGCGAAGCGTAAAATTTGAAATGAACCTTTTCGTTTTGAAGAGGTGGTCGTTTTTTTTGGTTTCCCCCCGCAGATGAGATCGTTGAGAAGTCTCGGGCCTGATTTAGGTTTCGGTAGACTAGGTTTCGCGAGTTTTTCATTCTTCATATTGTAGACTGCGGTGCGATAGACTACCTCCATCGGTTGTTTCTTAGTCCTAATTACCCCAGAAAAGAGAAATCATTAAAGAAAATTAATTACTGAACATTCCGCCCATCACAATAACGACGGAAGGATAATGACTTCAAGTTTTTCCTCGAAGTGCGAGAAATCAACTCATTCTAACCGTTTCCCCTCTCCCCCGTGATATCATAACGGTAAACCCACGCGCTGGAATCTCGCGGATTCATTATTGACGCCAGTGCGCAGTCCAGTGCGCAGCGTCAGTGAAGAATTCGAAAAATTCAAATTGCGCGGTAAACGTCACGTGAATAATTTTCCAAAAATCAGAGTAATTACCGATTACTCTTTGGAATGTTCCGAAATTTGGAGGCTTGTGAAATTTTTTTTAATCAATAGGAATAGTCGGAAAAATTCTTACTTGATTCCATCCGCACCCCCAGATCTTTTGACGTTTTTCACCCTGACGACATCTTTTTGCAGTCTTCCAGTAGTCGATCCACTTCCTTGGGATCCCCGTTTTTCCAATAAAGGTTTCTTCATCCCGCCGGAAGGAGTAATCCCTTTACTCTTCCTCAGAACCCTCTCGTCCTCACTCTTCCCCTTCTCCCCCACGCGATAATTTTCGTAAACCGGAAATGCATCCCTAACCCTTCCAAAAACATTGGCATAGAGAGGCGCCTTATCAGCCTCTTTCCCCTTATCACTCTTTTCCTCGTTCATCACTTTCTTATCACTTTCCTCCATTTTCCTGTTATCCGTCCCATCTAGGGAATTTTTCTCACTAGTAACATGAGGTTTACCCCCTGCGATATTGTCCTCAACTCTCGCAATAGTCGTCTCGTGAGTCGTCACAACAGTTGACAGCACTTTATTATCCTCAGAATCCCGCGAAACGAAATTCCCTAGATTCGCCCTAGATATAACCTCAGAGACAGCTTTCGGGGATTCCAAATCCCCGCCACTCCTGAAATCGAGTTTATCCCCGAGACAAATAGTTGTCGTGTGGATCTTGGGACTGACATCGGCATTAATCCACACCTTTTTATCGTTATCCCCAAAAATCCCGAGACTGGCGTCCTTGGACTTCAGGAGATTTGGGGATAAATTTTTTCTTCTCCGTCGGAATTTATTCGTCGGCGGGGGCTTTCCATCGGTCTCAACGATATTCACTTTTCCGGAATCTGCGGCAAAATGAATCTCGGTTTTGCAAAATCCTACTTTCTTCTTCGAGAGGCTAGGAATTGGGGGAATCCCCCCGATTTCGGACGAGCCTAAAGTCACTATACTAGTCTTGGGGGGATTTATCAGATTCACGACAGTCACTTGGGATTTTTGAGGCTTCGGGGATGACATCCGCGACCTCAAGGATTTCGGGGATAAAAGTGGGGATCGGGATTTCGGGGATGATGCTTTTATGGAGATCTCAGATTTCTTCGGATCCTTCAAGGTTATCGCTGACGATATCGGGATGTAGTGACTCTCCACTGAATTTTCAGGGATATAGTGAGTTTCTAGAGATTTTTTGGGAATCAGTGGGGATTTTTGATGACTTGTGGTGGACCGAGATGGACGGGATATTTTTGAATGGTGCGTGGGGATCTGCAGGGATCTCCGGAGCTTCGACGCTCTCGTAAAACTTGAAGTTGGAGATTTTGGGGGATTCTCTACGGGATATAATGACAGATCGTCGTCTGAAGTGCTGCGTTTCAGGAATTGATATTTTTCGGGATTGTCGAGGAGGGATGGAGGTAATGAGGTGTCGGTGACCCTGGATGAGGACCACTGGGAGGCTCGCACCACCTGGACACGTCGACCTGGCTCCTGACTCTGGAAAACCTCGACTTGACGACGAGCTTTTTGAATTACTGTGCCGTCGACGGTGTTCCGCTGACGGGAGTCCACCACCTGAAAATTCATTACGGTAAGAGTCTGGGGTTCTTCTGTGGTTTTTTCAACGATTTTAATTTTACTTTGCCGTAGGAATGGGCAGATCCATTGGTGAAGGCTCGCCAATGGCCAGTTTCCACCCTGGCTTGCTCCAGCATCCCCGTGATCTCGTCCACCCCTGACCATTCCCGTATCTCTTCATTCCTGAAGGGTGTGTCGTCATCCCCGAAGTGCCCTGAAGAAGACAGCACCACTTCCATCTTCATCTTTCCTCAACTTCCATCAATTTTCCTGTAAAAAATTTCCCCAGACAAATCGCTCATCAATCCCCAAAATTTTCGGCAAAACAAAAAAAATCGGGGATTCCCAATCCGAAATCCCGCTAATTTTTCAAATAATCCTGGAGGAATTAATGCGGGGAATGTTGATTAGCGCAAATTAGTTCCACAACACTTGCTTCAGCTTTCAACTATCGCAATTGAATAAAATCACCATTCTCAATAACAATAATTACACATTACCAGGATGACAGGAAATGGCAATTCAACGCGCATTATTACAAACACGCGCTTTACACTTTCTATGAAATCACCCACGCACCGTTTTTTCTCCACTTCCATGAGTGTTTTTTTTTTCCGCGAGTAATCGTGGTTTCACTTCTGCGCTCGTCCAGTGGAACAAATTGGTTCATTTAAGTCCGATAATTGTGCATGAAACAAGTGAAGAAAATCGGCCATTTGCGCAAGCCACGGAAATTCATGGAAAATACATCCATCTTTTTTTTTTGAAAACAATTTTTTTGGGCCTCAGAATTCACATAATTAAATTAAAAATGTTTTATTTATTGTTTATCAATTATTCAAAACTTCAATTTTTCCCATTTTTCCGTTTTTAAATTGATGCCAGAAGAATTTAAATGCCCCAATTATTTCCGCCATTTTGGGTGTCCGAATGGCGAGTAGCAAAATGGCGGAAACAATTGGGGCACGCAATACATTTCAATAATAATGTTTAAATAATTAGATAATTATACAGACGCTTAAAACACTTGAAATGCTAATTGAAAAATAATCGGGGAAAATTTCGCGTAATTTCCCCAGTAATTCAAATTTCTGAAATTTCCCGAATAATTTTCCTCCGCTGTAATTTCCTCGGTTTTAAACCGCGCGTTGTTATCCGTCATGAATAATAAATAAACTGCAATAAAAATTGATGGCTTCATTGATTTCCTATTTGCAGAATTTTTCGCGTAGGCGATTATGCCCTTGACAGCCCACGATTTCGAAAAATAAAAAATGGAATCGTCCCCCGTATTTTTATGAACTCGATTGAAAACTAGGTCAAAGAAGAATGAGAAATAGAAAATATTGTTCCAGTTTCCACGGTAATGAAAAATATATAAATATTTAATATAAATATATCAGGAGGAGGGACGGATTTTTTTGGGTGGATATTATCTCTGAGAAAATTGGAATTTTCATTTTGAATTATCATCGAGAGTAAAATGGGAGAGTAAAATGGGAATTTTTATTATTGGAAAATTCGGTATTCAGGGAATCGGGGAAAATCCACTGGCTTCCCGAATTTTCCGGGGATTTTCTTGAGTGGAAAATTCGGTATTCAGGGAATCGGGGAAAATCCACTGGCTTCCCGAATTTTCCGGGGATTTTCATGATTGCAAAATTCGGTATTCAGGGAATCGGGGAAAATCCACTTGCTTCCCGAATTTTCCGGGGATTTTCATGATTGGAAAATTCGGTATTCAGTGAATCGAGAAAAATCCACTTGCCTCCCGAATTTTCCGGGGGATTTCCACAGAAAAAAATCACTTGCCCCGCATTTTCCGGGGGATTTTCAACAAAAAAAAATCCACTTGCCCCGAATTTTCCGGGGGAATTCCACAAAAAAAATCCACTTGCCCCGAATTTTCCGGGGGATTTCCACTAAAAAAAATCCACTTGCCCCCGATTTTTCCGGGGTATTTCCACGCTTAGGAAATTCGATATACAACAACAAATGATAATAGAATAATTAACGCCGAGTGGGTGAGTCTTTCCATAGGAGATGCATCCTACGACACAACTGAGACGCCTCTCAGATTCCCGATTGTATTCCCATGAGAGATAATTTTGAGGTAGTGTGTGTGGGTCGAAACCAAGTGGCATTGGACGCAGCGGTAAAGCCGGTTCCTCCGGACAATTTCGAGGGCAAGCCATCCTCTGGAGGAAAAAATGAAGATGAAAAGAAAAATGAAAAGCCGAAGAAGACCGTCAAAATATGACATGCCCCTAGCATTACCTAAGAATATATTTAAATATATATTTTTATATATAATTATACAATAACTATAATATTGAATATATTATATATTATATTGCGATGAAAACATACGGATACAATAGGAATTTTTTTTTCCGTTTTTCCTTTTTGATTTTATCAATTTTTTATCGATATTATTATTATTTATTAATTTTATTATGTTGTTTTAATGATAATATTTTTATTGTTATTGTTGATAGGATTATTATTGAATAGTTTATTGAATAATTTTTTTTTTTAGGGAATTTTTCTTGGGTGGCGATTTTGAATTTTGAATGGGCTTTTTTGGGGGGCGATTGTTCTGCCGATTTTTTTCATTTTCTCGGGATTTTTTTCGTGATTTTAATTCACCTTGGGCATTCGCCTTCTGTGGACCTCTATCACCACCAAATACGGACTCTTTTCTTTCACGTTTACCTCGTATTTGTGCAATACATCGAGAACCGGTTGCTACATATCGATATGACACACTTTAATCCACAAATTAAATTTTTCAATTATCCAGGCTTTCCCCCACTTTCACCAGAAACAATCACCTCTTTTGAAAAATCAATTTCCCATACCAAAATATTTTACGAACCGGAAGTATCGATTTTTCGATTTTTCCGATCGACGATCGTTAAAAAATCGGTTGAAAAATCGTTATCAAAATTTCAAGAGCACAAGTCTCCCGGATTTTAAATCGATATGAAATAATTTTCGAAAAAAAAAAAATCAATTTCATTTATTTAAAATAAAAATCGGATGATGTCACTGCCACGACTTACGAATGGATCCGTTGGGAGAATAAATATCCCGTTGTCTCGTTCTATTGATTGATAGTTGGATTAGGAACGGATTAACTGTGAAGTGATTTTGCGGTGAGAGATGGGCCAGTACTGAAGCCCCGGACGCTTGTCTGAGGCCAAGGGGCCCCTTTGGGGTCCACAGTGGGGACTCGTTTCGCTGCTTGACCACAACGTCAGTTTTGCCTCGATGGACTCACAGACACTCTCTATTCCCACTTTTCCAACAATTCTATTCTTCCCTTTTCAGAATTCCCCGGCTTTCCGGAAATTCATTACCGCCAACACAATTTTCAAATCGGATATATCCGCACACAAAATCCATCATCAATATATCCTACATTTAATATATACAAAAATATCAAAAATATATCAAATATATAATAATAAAAATATATAATACCTTTCGTGATTTTTCATAAACAAAAAATATTCAGTCAATCCAATATATTGATATATTAATATATAATAAACAAAATATATCGATTATATAATATATAATATATTTTATATATTCATATATAAAATATGAAAATTTGGAATTTGATATTTAAATTGAATGACTCCGGAGAATTAAAAAAAATATATATAATATATAAATATTGATATTGTTAATTTTGATTGTTTAAAATTTTTGTTGTGGGATATAATGGGACACCCTGTATATCCTATCTTCTATCTTCAGGGTCAGTCCTCATTCTCCAGATAGCAGACCTCATCATAAATCTCAACTTCAAATACTATTCCTCAATCTCCCGTGTCACGAATTTCAAGAACATCTTTTAATTTTTAATTCTCGTTCAATTTGCAATTTCGAAATCCTTGATGTTTCGATAGTCATTGTTTATTTATTTGATGGACGGATCGTTTGTCATTCGATTGGTGGCAGGAGTGATCTGAATTAATTTGGGGATAAAAAATTCACTGGTCTTCGGGGTCTCTAGAAAAATAAACAGGTTCTCATGCTAATTTCGTGAGAACCAGACAAATCGTTCCGCTTGAAGCCTGAATTATTCGTCTGCTTTTGAATAGTCGATACTCTCAATTTAAATCGATAATATCGAAGGATTTATTTCGTAATCCCAAACAATAATTGCATAATTTTTATGAATTAATTAAACAAATTCATCTCTGCAACCGAATTGTTTCGTTGATTTGGGGATAAGAATTGGCTAGTGATAAATAAATTAATGGAGTGATAAATAAATTAATGGAGTGATAAATAAATTAATGGATAAGGATTTTGAAAGAATTTATTCGTTGATGGGGGATTTAGACAGTCATGAGGGGATCCCTATCGGTTTTCGAAACGTTAATCACGACTCCGTCTCCCAGGGACTTCCCCAGAATTCCTGAGAATTCCGGAAGAAATCCTCTCTCGGAGTCCGAGTGATTAGTTAAAATGACAGCGGTGTCTCGGTGGACAGCATCCAGGACATCATGATGCAGCATTTCTCCAGTGACGAAGAGATCAGCCTGGACATTTTTTAAAACTGAAGCTCCAGATCCCGCGCAAAGGGCGACAGTTTTAATCATTTTATCTGAATAAATAAAAAATTGAATGAACACACCTGAAATTTTTTATTAAAAATTATAAATAATTAATTGATCAACCTGGATTGTGAACTCTTGCCAGTCTAACGAAATTCAAATTAGTCTGACGTTTGACGAGATTGACAGCTTCTTGATCGGTTATCGGTGTTTTCAAAGTGCAAATTCTGCCCATTCCATTCCGAGAATTATCCAGGGCGGGTTGAATCGGTTCGCACGTTAAAGTCTCTGCGAAAAGGAAAATGATGAGTCAATGCGAAAAATGATGATTTGTCCAGGAAACGGGAAAGAGCAGATGGAAATTGAGGAAATAAAAATGAGGAAATAAAAACAAGGAAATGAATGATGATGAAAAAAATGAATCCAGAGTAATTAATTTGAATGACTCACCGAAGGCACCAGCCAGCCAATCATTAACCCCACCTCTAATTGAATCGAATGAAGTATGGGGTGAATAAAGCGCTATTTTGTGCTCCAGACATTTCGCCACAATTCTTTCCTAAAAATAATAATTAATTGACAAATAATTGATGATTTATTGAAATAAAATTAAATGATTGACAATCGTACCTTCCACGTTCTCGTGGTGACGCTCTTCAGAGGCGCGAAAATCGGCGGATGATACGAAATGATGAGATCGGTCCTGAGGTCAATCGCCTCCTTCATGACTCTCTCGGTTAAATCATTAGTGAGAAGTATCCTAGAGATATTTTTGCACTCCGTCGGTTCCACCAGGAGTCCGACATTATCCCAGGACTCCGCAAGCGATTGGTCAGCAAAATTATTCATCGCCTCCACAACTCTCGTCAGGGGAATCCCCGGATTCATTTTTGTGGACATTCTAATCAGGCTCCAGTGAATCAATAAATTCGGGGGTCGGATCAATCGATAGAGCATCTAGAGATGAATCTGCAAATGATGTAATTAGTTTTAAGGATTATAAATTAATAACTCGAAAATAAACAATAAATAAATAAATATAAAGCAAAAAGTCTTTTGTTTATTACCCTCCTGGTGTATTTATTCATTTATTTTATTTATAATATTTTTATTCGACGGGTAATTGGCAACTTTGCGATGTAATTGCACAATAAATTCTTCACTTTCCGGTTATCGTTTTTTTCTATAAAACCAGTTGATGCGGAATTGTTATTGATGAATGGAATAAATGGTGATAAGTTGGTGAACGTATTCTAATGTTGAAATATGTGAGATAAGACTGATAAATAAATGCGCCAGTGAAATTAAAATCCAGACAATTGGCCTCAAGGATTTTTCCATTAGAATCACAATCTTCGAATTAAAAAATTGTATCTAAAAATGTAAAATCCCAGCTGTCACGATTTTTATTAAAAAATTACTGAATAATAATCATTTGAGGGAGTAATTAATCGAAATATACAATAACAAGTGTTTTTTTTTAAATATTTATTGAGAATTCGGTGAATTCTGTACGAAAACTGAGAAGAAAAAAAATAAAATCAGTCGCTGTAGAACCAGATGTTGACTTTGGAGTCATCCCCAGCGCTTGCGAGTTCCCCAGGATTTTTTGGGGACCATCTGACAGCATTGACGTCGGAGGAATGGGCATTTTCAGTGGCAGAAACCATCGAGAAATTAGGCTGATTGATATCAGAGTCGTTTTCCTCCCTGAAGATCCTGATGGTGTTGTCCCCGCAGGCAGTGGCGATGAGTCCAGTTTTCTTGCACCAGTCGACGTCGTAGATTGTCCTGGTGTGATACCCAGACAGGGTGCAGACATTCTTCCAGACGGCGACATCATTCGGCGTTGGAATTCCCGGGATATTCTTAGGCTGGTACTGCTGCCAGATCTTCAGGGTTTTGTCGTCGCTGCAGGTGACGAGTCTCGATCCCGACTCATCGAACGAGAGACTCCAGACGGTGGAGGTGTGGGAGGAGAGGGTTGCAACACACTTCCATTCCGAGACATCTGTGCAATCCTGGAAGATCTTTACGGTGTCGTCGTATGATGCTGATGCCAGGGTATCCTCATGCGGATGCCATCGAACCTGAAATTCTCATTTTATTCATTCACTCCCAACTCCTGGGGTTTCACGCCAGTAAATTGTAAACATTTTCTTAATTATCGTAATATTAATAATAATCAAATATTTTTACCTTTTTGACATCTTGTGCATGTTCACTAAGCACAGCATCACACTCATATTCATCATTAAAACACTCCCAAACCCAAACCGATTTATCTCGACTACAACTTGCAAGTAAGTGACCACTCCACGACCAATCGACACTCTTGACTTCATTCTCGTGACCCTCGAGAGTAGCTGAGCATTCAAATTTATTTCCTTTATTCTCCCAAATAGCAATTGTTGCGTCGAAAGACGCGGATGCTAGGTATTGGCCACACGGTGACCACGATACTTCACGGATTGTCCGGGTGTGTCCCTCCGCGAGGATGAGCTTCATGACGTATTTACCACCCTCGTGCAAGTAAATACGAATTTTTTTATCTTCACCGCACGATGCCAACATCAATTTCACCGGATGCCAAGAAACATTCCACACTCTTCCCTGGTGATCTGATAGCGTTTGTTTCAAGGATAATGTGCCCATCGTCACCTGGAACAGAATCAGGAATGTTTTTTGGCATTCGTCTAATTTTTTTTCATATTTCAATTGTCAAAGTTTTATAACAATCGGATAATCATCGCAAAACCGGAATTATTAGGTTTTTTATTGTTAACATTCATTGGTAATCGTTAATTAATTATGATGATTAATAAAAATGGAAAATTTCGTTAACAATTCTTCAGGTTTTATCAATTTCTAGTGTTTTTAGGAGGGAGTTAATAAATAATAATAATGGAAGTTCTATAAAATTGTTCAGCGGATTTTTAATCGGTTTTTTATTCGGAATTTATGAATATTGTTCAATTGTTAATAAATAAAGCTTACAATAATTTGTATGACACCAGGATGCTCCCAGGAATTCCAAAAAACCACCGAAAATTCAAAATTAAATTCTCCAGATCTGGAAATTCACTTTCTGGATTTAGTAACCTCAAAAATAATTAGAACACGTCTCTGCTCTACCGACTATCAACAATAGTTCGAGGTACATGTAAAAATAAAAATAAAAACAAAAAAAAAATTGAATGATGAAGAAATTGATTAGAAATTCGAAAGATAATTTCGATGCTCGTCAGCTGGTGGTTTTTCATATTTTACCGATGGAATTTCGTGGATAATCTGTTGAGGACTCTAGAGGTGAAGTAGAAAACTGTGAATGGATAATTCTTGGTTTATTCTTTACGACTAACGATTGACGGTCACTCCCCGGTGTTAGGCCGACATCAGATTCTGTAACGACTAATCACACGTGAAGGACACACCAGAAAGTGCCTCGTGGCTTTTCAATTTTTTCTTTATCATTTTTTGTTTTCCCTGAGTCCCTAATTTTTCCATAATTCCGGTGAGTCCCAGGGAATCAACAACCAGATCAATAAACAAACAAATGAATTTATAAACTAGGGAATGGAATAATAATCCTTCAATTATTTATTTATTCGATAAATACCCATCACAAATTCCAAAAAAATTGGAATTATTTAATTAATGTGAATTGTTTAAGTGAAAAAGTTTAAACCAGTGTCTTTCATTTATTTATTTATTTATTTTCAATTACAAATCGTAATACAAATGTCAGATTAATTATTGAAGATTTTTTATTCGATTACAAAATTTCAAGGCGCGATAAACAATTAAAAATAAATGTTGAGATGAATTTTATAATAAATTGTTTTTACTGTCTGTCCCTAGGTCTTCGTTTCCACTAGCCCAATTACATTCAATTCAGCGGTTCATTATTAAGTCATCATGTGGTTTATCTCTTGATAAAATTCTCGTTATCAATCACTCCATTAAAAATTGAGAGATTGAGAGAAATTCAAGTTTTCAACGACTGACCTTCTATTTTTCCATACTCCCTAAATAATATAATAAATAAATGAACACTTCAATAATTTATTGAATTTATTTATGCAGTTGGAATTGGAATTTTTTATTGTAGAATTTATTTAGTTCTTCAATTATTTTAGGTTTTACCTTGAAGATGGCACCGAATGCAACATTGCAAGAAGAGGATTCAGCAGGTCCTGATCTTCTTCAGGATCACGATTGGCTGGAGGACGTACCCAGTGGCGGTCCCCTCGAAAAATACCGTGAGACCGCGTCTTTCTCGTGGAAGCAGATGAAACTCGTCCTCGAGGAAGTCAAATCCATTCGCTTCAAGGTGCAAAAATTTTCCCTAATCCACCGACACAATTAATTACGGAAATTTTATTCAAACAGAGACTGCTCTGGAGGGCGATGGAAGAGGATCCGGACTATCACCCCATTCCCTCCCAGAATTTATCCAGCGACGAGCAAAAAAGAATAACTGCTATCCAATTAGCGAAGATGGATTACCTGAAATTTTTGCCAGGTCTTCTCCATCGTTCGTACAAAGAGAAAGTAATTGACATCAATTTCCCCTTGTTCCTTAAAAAAAAAAGTCATGACAGTGAATATCAGGGAATAATAATAAAAATTATGACAATTATAAACAAATTATATATTTTTTCCAGTTGGTATCTCTACTGGACCTCCACGAAGCTCTGATTGTCTTCAAGCCAGCTCTAGGTGTAAAAATGGCGATGAGCTGTTACATCTTCGGTAACACTCTCCTGAGTCTGGGTACAGAGAGACATCTCCCCATATACACAAAAGTATTTAATAACAAAATGGTGGGTTGTTTTGCCCTCTCCGAAATCGGCCACGGAAGCAACACAAAGATGATGCGTACGACCTCAACGTACGATCCATCAACCAAAGAATTTGTAATAAACACTCCAGATTTTCACGCAGCCAAATGCTGGGTGGGAAATCTAGGAAAAACAAGTGTGGTAGCTATTGTTTTCGCTCAATTAATAACCCAGGGTGAGTGCCACGGATTGAACGCCTTCGTGGTACCCGTGAGAGATCCCAAGACATATCTTCCTTATCCTGGAATAATTGTCGGTGACATGGGTGACAAAACAGGTGTCCACGGAATAGACAACGGATTCATAATGTTCAACAACTACAGAATACCAAAGAACAATTTATTAAATAGAACAGGTGACGTGACACCCGAGGGTGAATACCAGACATCATTCTCGGATCCTCAAAAAATTCTCGGTGCAGTCCTCCAAAATCTCTCAACAGCCCGAATCGGTATCAGCGGTGAATGCGTAAATAGCATCGGAATAGCATCAACAATAGCTGTACGATACGCAGCAGTTCGAAGGCAATTTTCATCATCCCTAGATAATAATGCCACCGAGACCCCAATCATCGAATACGAACTGCACCAATGGCGAATATTTCCCTACATGGCAGCTGGTGTAGTAACACGTGCATTCATGACTGAATTCTCCCACGACTTCTTCAACAACGTCGACAAGTCAATGTCAAATAAAGAAATAGAAAATATAAGAGAAATCGTTGGTGAACTGCACGCGATGATTTCAGCGATAAAGCCACTGCTGACATGGACAGCGAAATCAGCAATCAGTGAGTGCCGAGAGGCATGTGGAGGTCATGGCTATCACAAAAGTGCTAAATTAGGTGATATGGCTGCTGATCATGAGCCAACGGTGACGTACGAGGGTGATAACAATGTACTAGCTCAGCAGACGAGTAATTGGATTCTCAGGCAGTGGGAAGGAGCTCAAAAGGGGATAACTGATGGCAGTCCCCTGGAATCCATTAATTTTATTTTCAAAGGGGATGAGATACTCGATAGAAAATTCACTGGGTGTCACGTTGACGATGTAATGTCTCTGAAATTCGTCAGGGAGTCTTACGAGTGGCTCATCACATGGCTGACTGTCGAGATGTCACGTAAATTTAAAATAGCTAGAGATAAAGGAGTCGATAATTTTACAGCTAGAACTAGAGCACAAGTTTATGCTGCATCCTCTTTGGCAAGAGCTTATGGAGAGCTCACGGTTATCAGGTACTGCGTTATGAGGATTGAGAGAATGCTACCACCTGGACATCAGCTTCAGGCGCTCCATGGCATTCTGGAGAAGTGTCTCTTGCTTTATTCGTTGTTCTGCCTGGAGAAGCATCTGGCGACCTTTTATCAGGGCGGTTATTGCTCTGGACATCTGATGGTCGAGAATATTCGAAATGGAATTTTAAGATTGTGTGGAGAATTGAAACCTGAGGCTGTGGCTATCGTCGATGCACTAGCTCCACCCGATTTTCTTGTTAATTCAGTACTTGGTATGGCGGATGGAAAGGTTTATGAACGTCTTGAAGAGGCTGTCAGGGGGCATCCGGACTCCGCTGGAAGACCCACGTGGTGGCGAGAGCTAATTACAGCTGCGGAAAATCCTATTCAATTACCAAAATCGAAACTCTGACTGATATCTAAATATTCAGATCAATTCCGTTTCATATATTGCACAATAATTCACATATCTCAATTTATCCACCATTTTATATATATTTTTATGAACAATTCACGCAATGGAATATTGATTAGTGGCAATTGTAATAGAATTGTTGTTAGTGGTCAGTATTTTTTTTTTTTTTTTATGGTAATTAATTATCATTTTGTAGCTGTTTGTTGCTTAAATAATTGTACTATTATTGAAAGAGCAGGTCTTTATGAGTATTATTAAATTTATTTAAGCAGTGAATTTTGTTTCTTTATTTTTTCATTTCTTTCGTGGGAAATATTATGTCAGTGAAGAAATTCTGAGGAACTGCTGACACCGGACGTTTGTCGTGTGATAAATATTTTCGTGACACAATTATTCGTAATTACGCAATAGTTTTTCAGTTTTCTGGGGCTTCCTTCAAAAAAAATTTGCAATTTTTCTCAAGGACGTTATATGATTAATAAAAAATTACGAGGAATTTTTTAAAATAATTTCTCTTCATCAATTCTGGTAATTTGTTGGATTAAAAATTATAAACAATTTGCGATTAACATTTGAGATGAGAATTGAGGGGGAATTTTCGAAATAATTATCTCTATTTATTCTTACGAAAATTGTGATTACAGAAATAATCGAGGGAAATTTTTCTCGGTTTACGATTTTTCAGATTGTGAATAGTAAAAATCTTTTTTGTATAAAAATAAAGGAAGTATGGAGATTGATTTAAATTGCGTCATTAATTTCGTTCTGGAGTACCAGGAAAACAATTAATTGTTTATTATGCGGATACTTCCGCCTGATTTTTTTATTTATAAAGAGGAAGAGACGAAAATGGAGTTCAGTGTCGAATCGAAAATGCTGAGGGCAATCCTAGTGACTCTTTTAATCGTAACTCTGTCTGATGGGAGATCGATGGAGAAAAACCATCGATACCCCAGATCGACATGTTCCACATGCACTCCAGAAACATCAGAAGGACTCGCAGCCCAATGGTAATTAATTAATTAATTAAATCAATGGAAACCATTCCCCGAAAAAATCCTCGAAGTGTGCATTTTCTCGGTGTTCGTTTTTCCCGAATATCTCGGAACAGCTAAAAAATATCGATATTTTTGTTATTACCTTTTTTATAGCCCTCACTTTTTTCTACAAAAAATGTTATAACAAAAATATTGATATTTTCTCTCTGTCCCGAGATATTCTGGAGAAACTGGCATCGATCTAATTGTCAGATTATTTTCATTATCAGGTCACTTGAATTTATGATTAATTATGATAACTATTGATTAAATAATTAATTCCGTGTGAGTTAATTGAGTCAGTGGATCAAATAATTGAGCGAAAGTACTGATAATTACAATTTATTATAATTATTATTAATAATTACAGGAATACTCCAGCAGATTATGGATACAACAATCAAATCACTCCTTTCTCGTACCCCTTCTACCCTAGAAGTTTCCCGGAGTCCTATCCCCAGCCCTATTACCCACCCTTCCGGGGGGAGAGACATCCCACCGGCGATGAGATCGCGAACACAAACCTCCTGATGTACAGAGGTGATCTGGACGAGCCATCTCCAAAGGTATCAGTTCCCCCAGCGAGACTGGCAGATCCTCGGACAGACCCACACCTGCAGGCAATCGTGACGAGGGCCATATTATTGGCCCAGCGAGAGGCCCAAGAGGCCTTTTACAAATCCAAGTCCCAAAGGTACACCCGAAATTTAGGGGACGACAATGGGATGCAGGAGGAGAAATTCTATTTCCGAGTTCCTGAGGTTACGAATTATCAAGGTAAATTATTTACAGATAAATTTTTTGAGTCCTGATGATTTATCTGATGATCTTGTTACCCCAGCACCGGAATATCCAGTGGATCAGACCCTGAGGCCGAGGAATTACGACATCAGGAATGACGAGTACTACCTGGGAGAGTCTGGAGAGTTTTATGACGTGCCCCAGGGGATCGCAGTCGATCACAGGTTGGGGAATTCACCCGTGGGTATGAGGGATCCATTCACCATCTACGGGGGGATATCTCGGCAATGGGGTACACCCTGGGGGGCTGGTGAGGGCTTCCAAGGGAAGAAGGAACCCTCTGCACCCTTTCATCAGATGCTCCAGGGCCGTGCACCCTCTAAGAAGGGAAAAAAAAGTCATCTCCGGGATGAGAACAGCGTGGAGGCACCACCCTGTGGAGATGATGCTCCCGAGGCTTCCAAAACCACTCCCTCACCCTAGAATGAAACTTTAAACATTCCATGTACTTTTGTTAATAAAAAATGTGAATGTTCAAATTAATTATTTATTTCTTATTTATTTATTATTTATTCATTCCCAAATTTATTTATTTATTTTCATTCCCATATATTCAGAAATTTGCGATGGATTACTGAAATTCAATTAATTGTTCATAATTTTTCTCTCTTTTTTTTATAATTATTATTATTATTATTGGGAGATTCATTTGGTGATGGGATTCGAATGGCATTGACTTTTTTTTTTATTGATAATGGAGTTAATTGAAATTCTAATAATTATTTCGTTCGAATATATTTTTCGCGAATTCCATTCAACCTGAAATGCTGAGTCAATTAATTAGCGGATTAATCAGGTTCAAGTTCGATGAAGACATCGATAATCTGGAATTCAAAATGAATTCAACGAACGCGTCAAATTCCTTATTCAACACGCGCTGATTAATCCAATTAAATTTAATTGTCGAATTGAAAAATTAAATTCATAAATGAAAATTGAAATGATTTTTTGGATTAAAATTTACACCTAAAGGATTAATTAAAAAGGATTAATTAATTCAATTTGATCTCCGTTTGAATAAAAAAAAATTGATTGTGAAAAAATAAATGCCAGTTGTTTAATTATTTTAATTATTTTAATTATTTTAATTATTTTAATTATTTTAATTATTTTAATTATTGGATTTATTGGAATTATTATAATCATTGGAATTATTGTAATTATTGGAATTATTGGAATTGTTTAAATAAATTAAAAGCTCGACCTTGGCGATAAGCAATAAAAGATCCGATTGCCCCAATTATTTATAAAACATTAACAAATCACCGCGTAAACCTGCGTGCGGTGCAGAATCAGATGCGTAACGAAAAATGTGTCATCCCCACCTAGTGTACCCCAGGAATCGTCAGTGACATTTAAGCGGATGTCTGGCCACCTCGAGGCATTCGATCCCCAAGTCTTCAATCGAATAAGCCATGCGGTTGCGTCCCCAACTCCTAGTGCTCTTCACCGTGGGCTGCGCCCTAGCAGCGCCCCGCGCATCCAAATTAAAATCCACAGTTAAGCATGTGGAACCATCACCGTCAGCAGCAGTGAAGGCACCAGTGCCAGCGGTTGATGCTGAAAAATCAGACGTTAAAAAAGGAAATCGAGCGAAAAAACAGACGACGACATTCTGCGTGGAGGTAAAACCTGGACAGAATGTTAAAACGGATTGTCCTCCAGGGAATCAATCGCCATCTGGATCTCCTGGATCTTCAGGGTCACCAGGGATTTCAGGGTTTCCAGGAATTTCTGGATCTTCAGGGTCACCAGGGTCTCCAGGATCTCCAGGTCTTCCTGGATTGTCATTCAACTCAGGATCTGGGACATTTACAATCTTCTCACCGGGTCTCAGCGGTTCAACAGGTCAACCGGGAGTTGGACAGCCAGGAGTTGCTCAACCAGGAGTTGGACAGCCAGGGGGTGGACAGCCTGGAATTGGACAGCCTGGAATTGGACAACCAGGAATTGGACAGCCAGGGAGTGGACAGCCAGGAATTGGACAACCAGGAGTTGGACAGCCAGGGAATGGACAGCTAGAAATCGGGCAACCAGGAGTCGGACAGCCAGGGGATGGACAACCAGGAATTGAACAACCAGGGAGTGGACAGCCAGGAGCTGGATCTCCAGGTTCTCCTGGAATGGGATTCACCTCAGGACCTGGGACATTTATGATCCCACCGAATTTCAGTGGCTCAATAGGTCAACCTGGAGTTGGACAGCCAGGAGTTGGAGTACCAGGTTTCCCTGGATTGGTATTCAACCCGGCATCTGGGACATTTACGATCGTCCCACCGAATTTCAGTGGTTCAATAGGTAAACCAGGAGTTGGACAGCCAGGAGTTGGACAGCCAGGAGTTGGA